CATTCCTGAGGCTGACTCACACCAAGTACAAACAGGGATCTTTTGAAGCTTCGGAAGCTTCTGAGAAGCAAATACATTCAGGTCAAAGCATGTGAACTCCAGTAATTTTCCTAAGGTTGATCAAAAGCTGCTGGTGACATCTTGACATAATATCAGAAAATGCCTTGAAGGAAATGGAAAGTGGAAGATGCTGCAAGTGTGAGAAAGCTGGCAGATGTGAGAAGGGACTTCTTGAAGAGGACCCAGATGGGTTGAACGAGATTGTACCAGATCTCACACATTCCTTCTAACAAAAGCAGGGTTTGGAAAGTTCATCCCAACACCCAGTGTTTCTCTTTCTTATTCCAACAATTCAGAAGCACTGAAATGCAACCATAAATGGGAAAAGTGCTGTGACATCAGAGATCATCAAACTCTCCTTCAGAGCAAGAGAACAAGAAAACAAAAGCTAATACTGAACACACGAAGTCATCTCTCCACAGTAACACATCAGAAGCAGACAGGGAAAAGCTGCTTGAAGATCTATCTGGTCTTCAAGACGTTACATCATTGTGAGTTGTCATCACATCAGGTGGAGTTTGGAGGGGAGCATTTTATGGTAAGAAATAAATGTGTGCAAAAGCAGTTGTGAGTAAGGCCTGAACAACACTTATTTGTAAGTTCTGAGAAAACACGTTCACGCAGATGAATAAATACTTTCCTTTTAAAGTATAAAGCATGACTTCAACCATGCCAGACTGAGCGACAGATATTTATAGGTTTACTGGTTTATAGTCCTGAGCAACTGGAGCTGAAAGCCTGCATCAGCGAAACACAGCACTACTTTAGGTCCTTAGTTAAGGGATCAGCTATCCTGGCCAAGCTTCAGAAACAGGTACAATGGGCTGCAGTTAAAAATGCAGGGACAGAAATGAAATTTTGCACGTTCGTGGAAATAGCAGAGGGCTACTGCAGAACCTGAAAAAGCAGAGCAGACCAACAGACTCATTTGTGGAGTCTGGTGATGTACAGAGACGCAAATCCTTGGAGATTCAGACTTTTGTAGGAAAACTGCACTCAGATCAAGTGCTACTCCTGACCTCACAGGGACTCATCCTAATGCTGAGCTGTGCTCAACACAACTCAACCTTAAGGGTGACCAGTACTGAAGATCAGGTTGGGAAACATCAAACACGCCAAGTATGAGACAGAGCCACGCAAAAGCTTTTCACAAATGAATGACTCCTTACTGTTTCTCCACACATTCACATGTGCCACTCAGAAAAAGCAGCAAGGCACAATGGAGAATGGGTATTACAGGTGCATACGTAAATTCTTGCTAATGCTGCCTCTCCTTTGCATGTGATTATAACTAAGGCTCTCCAAAACCAAGAGTGAAAAAGAAATGGACATTTTAATTATGGGTTGGCCTAAGAGACAAGAAAACCACACCATGCAGCATCCCACACTTAACCAAAGGAAAAACAGCTGCACAGTAGTTTTATATAACATCAATAATTTTTTAAACACTAATGAAACTAATTCCTTCCAAAAGCCAGAGTGTCATTTTGTAATCCCAGGAAACTGTATTTATTTTTTTACTCTTTACAATTGGATCACAGCACCTACAGAAGCTTCTTAAAATGAACAGCACCTCTTCCTTTTTCACAACAGTTATACAAAATGCCTCACATAAGGAATTAGTCTTGGCCGTCTCTGGAATACTATTTGGGGTATTTTACCTATGTAAAAAACACTCCTGAGTTGATCAGAGTGCAAGTGAGAAAGAAGTCACATCCTGTGCCCTTGCTAGCAAAGAATTATTCTTCTCCTAAGACAGACAAGTATGAACCTTTCCAAAAATTACCTCTCTGCCAATGAGCTGTTCCTCCTTCGCCAACAGGACCATCATGTACAGCAAACAGACAATCATGTTGTGAGTCTGAGGATGAGGGCTGGGATTCCAGGCATCAGAAAGGACGCTGACCCAGTTGATTTCACATAAAATAGAACCCAGGAATAAGAAACAACTCTTGGGGCTGCCTCTTTCAATCTAGGAAGGAGAAAGGGGAAAAGACAGGCATATTAAAAAATGGAAGATATAAAAACTTCCACACTTTTCAGTTCCATAGCCAACTATAAATCCACAGCAGCATTTTAGGTCAGCAGAGGAGTAGACTGATGCCATTTCTCCATCATTTTGGTACTCCACCAGAAGAACTGCACTTATAACTTTCTAAGCCTCTCAAAAACCAGTACAGAATACCAGGCTACCGCAAGCCAGAAAGAAGTGATCTATTACAAATTCTTACCTGCATGATTGCATTCATTTTTCTTCACTCTAAAAGAAAGTGAGAAAGCCTAAGCCTATACAGAACTGCACGAAGACCTCATCCCAAACAGATGAGCAGTAAATCCTAGAGCACTTCCACATCTGCAGGTTTATTTTGTCTCAGACAACTTGGAAGTGAGAACAACACGGCAATAGCAAGATATGTTAACTCTAACTAAAGACGTGTTATATATTTATGTAATAAGTGAGGCACTCAGATAGAGCAATGACAGATTACAAAGACTGCTGGTTTTACAGCTCCCTGCAACTTTGTCTAAGACTCAATTGCATTCCTTCACAAAAAAAAAATCAATCACAAAACGAGCAGCTGCGAATGCTACAACGAACTTCAACAGCTTATTTGCTAAAAGAGCTGTCTCCAGCTCTCCAGTTATTTTCAAGAGCAACACTGATTATGAACTTAATTCAACAGATGCCATGTACTCACTTTGAAGAACTCCTCCATAAGCATCTGGTCTGGATGCATTTCCTTCCATGGCAGCCTTCTGAACTCAGTATGGAAAGTATAGAGAATAAACTCTGGCATTTTGGGGGCTGTGCAACATTCACAGTAATGCAACAGATGCAACCAGAGAGCCCCATGGTGGCTTGGCAACAGCTTATCTAGATTAAAAGAAAACAGCTGAATTAACAATGGAAAAATATCAGGGAAAACCTGGTTACAGAAGGAAGTGCAAATCTGAAGATGAAAAATCGCAAATGCAAGTTATGCTAAAATACACTTGTCAAAGAAAAAAATGCACATTAAGCTTTTAGATTTTTTTCCTCCAAATCAACAAGCGGGGAAGCGAATGATTTTGTGCCCTTCCTCGATCTTTTGAAGAGCTGCTGAACAATAATCTGAAGTTATAAAATACTCCTTCCACGTAGAACTTCATTGCTTTTAAGATGGGTTGTTTTCTTAAAAAAGATCCTATAAATCTTGAATGTTACAAAATACACAATAATATATTATTTTAATTATTTATTTTTACAAGATAATTTAGTTCATACCTAGAAGTTGTTATGATGTATTGTAAAATCTATTTCTTTTCATTCCTATATCTAACTACACATTAGGCACAATAAGCAATGCTTAACAGGAGCTCAAAATGATCAGTCCTGGAAATTAAATTCCCCCCAAGCCCAGCTGCTGCGACTCGTATATTGGTCATTGTGAGGTGATGTGTTGTATGGGAACAACATACAGACCTGAAACGAAGTCATGCCCTTCCCATGGCAGCTCATTTTGTTTTGCATTTCTTCACGCTGTTATCTCACAGATACGCATTTATCAATCACATTATCTACCCTCGCCAAGGAAAAAAAGCTGCATTTTAAAGATGAAATAAGGAAATGCTCCTGGCACCACTACAGTGACCATCTTATCTTGGCTGAAAGTTAATAACAAACAAAATCCCGGCATGTCTCGTATCTCAATCAAAAACCTTTTTTGGTCTGTGACAGAACAGAAAGCGTCACTACATTAAAACAGCGCACACTTCACCCACCTTTGAAGCTCTCGTGTAAAAGCTTGATGCAATCTGTGAACAGACAGACCACGGTGGACGCTACAGGAGTGTCACTCTCTAACCATGGGTAGCAGGGCTGGTTACTTAAAAAGAGGGAAGCAACACAGATTTCAGTGCCGAGTTACCAGACCATAAACAGATCATAAACACTTAAATTATTTAAATATTCTAAAGCATAGTAAATCAATATAGCAGGTATCAGCAGTCCTTTCATTCAAACACAATTCTTTAGGACTGCCTGTTTCTTCCTGAGAAGGGGTACATTATTTTAATGACACACTGAAGAGCCATAAGGCCATCGAGTAAGCAGAGATTAATAATTTAATATTTCAAAACTGAATTAAACACCAAAATGTAAGAATTTCTGAATGACAGCACATACTACCTCAGCCAACCTTCTATTTAAATGTTGGATATGCCCATACAGATCAAAAAGATTTTGGCTTTGGAAGAAAGTAATACTGCAGGGAATAACATTACAAATAACTCTCCATGTGAAGACAGAGGTACACCGGACAGTAGGTAGTCACTGGACTGATTCGGTCCAAGAGTTCTTTACATACCACTGGCATCTGAGGTTGCATTTGTTTGGCTTTTTTGTTCTGCTTTAAACTAAGGAGTTACCAGCTAAAAAAAGGAACCTAAAATTTAAATTTAAACTAAGTGCAACCCGTATTTTTCTCATCTCTGCTTCCTGACCAGAGCTTGGTTGTATTTCCTGTATCTAAAACAATGACTCAGTCCAAGTCTTGGAAAATTTGACTTACGGAGCTCATGAATTAGTTCCATAATTGTTAAGGATATGACAAGTTACAGCCATTTAACGGAAGGTCACAATACAGTCATGAATTGGAATAAAAATCAGGTAACAATGAAAGCCACTCTTACAGGGCTAGAGTCCTTACTTGAGCAAAAATCCATTTAATTTTGAAATACAACACATACCTTGCATCCTCCTTATCCAAGACCAGTATCCATGGTTTAAAGAGTCCAGCTATGACTGAATACAACCACTGCAATGCTACAAGAAAATGAAACAGAAGTTGCTTTTTCCCTCCCCTCAAATTAGCAACAGTGAACATATACGGCTTTCCAAACTTTGATATCCTTTTCTTATTCCAACATTAAATCAGTTCTTCCTCATAAAAAAAAATCAAAAATACAATATGCTTATTAATAAACCTAGTTAACAATATGATTGTTTGAACAACCATCATAAGCATTTTACATTGCTTAAATGTTATATTACATCACGTTAACATATCTGAAATTGTGAGAGTAATGATGATTCGCACTTTAAAGCTGCATATACTAAAATAAAAGGAGTTCTGGTGATTTTCTCCAAATCAAAATCACATGGTGGTGAAGTTCAGGAGTCCCTCATACCCAAATCTCCGCTTAGTGGAAAGGATCATATTTTGCTTTGAAGAAAGTATGATCTCTTCACAAAATAATTGTGAAGTAAGCTCAAATGTAAACAAGCTTCCTCTAAGAAGCGTAACGCATGAAGTTCCACATGGCCACTAAGTGGCGTCAATATATTCCATCTGTATTTTAATGTTCTCATCACTGTACAAATGCAGAGCAAGAAGTTTTTACTGCACATTTAAATGGTCTTTAACAGTGAAAATCAGAGAAACTGAGTGCCTGCTCCTAAGTCATTTGCTTTTAAGAAACTTTACCTGCTAGAATTCTGCTACTGCCAACAGGTTCTTGGGCTAAATTGGCAACTTCGGTGTCAATAAGTCGCTTAGTAAGATACTCCATAAATTTATTCACTTCAGTCACGTAGGGACTCCACTTTGAGAACAAGCCAAAAGTCCTGAAGTCCATCGAAGCCAGTCGGAGTTTGCAGAAAGAAGTGGAAAGCCATTCTATTGTCTCTCTAACCTGGAAAAATAATTGAACTATTTATTAGCTACAGCAGTGTTATTAGTAACTAGTGGGCACCTGTTTCAGATGAAAAGCACAGTTAATCATCAAACAGGTACCCACCTGTTCTGCAGAGAAGAGACTTTCTGCAGCATCCCGCAATACAGGACTTTCCGCAGAATCGCTTTTCTTGAAGCTTCCCTGTTCAGCCGCTGGTGAACCACATCCCAAAGCTTGAAGTGATGCTTTCCAACAGTCAGGGCTTAGAAGCTGCTCTGACGAGCCTTAGAAAAAAAAGAAGGGAATGCATTTGTGAAAACTGGGAAAATAATGTTAATCCCTTTCTCAATATGAGTCAGAAAAGGTTGAAATTAGAGCTTCCCACTACATAAAAAAAATAGGGAGAGCCATGAATTTGAAAGTCTTAAGTTTAAAGGTGAGAATTATCTCTAAATCCCAAGCATAAGTAATTTAACATTCTCTTTTGGCATCTACATGCTCCCTTCTTACAGAGTTTCCCATGCACTTACTAAATTCCTGGCTACAAACACGTATCAAGAGACAGTTGCTGCTTCAGCACATATGGTTTGACAGAAAGGAAGTACTTTTGTTCCCATTTTAGATGCACAACACATTATAGGTAGCATCTAATGTCAACCAGTACATTTTCAGATTTCAGTATCAGTCCCATTTCTCTGTAATTCCAGTTCTCAGTTTGACACCGAAGAGTGTTCAGCTCAAGAGATAGGATGCTGCATTACAGGCTTAATTATAATTAATAAGTGCTTCCATTAATAGAAACCTCTCTTCCACCCTTTTCCTGTAATTTGGGCTGAAAATCTGCTCTCACTAATGTGTGTACTTCGATCCGCAGAAGAGTGTTCCTTTCTAGTAGAGCTAAAATATATGTCTAATAAAAACACATCCCACAGCATAAAAGTATGTGCAGAAATTTAAGACATGCCCTATTTGTTGTTATTTATACCCTACTGCATGCAGTACGTATTTTTAAGCCAGAAAAGCTCTGTAGAAAAGGCTTCGTATGCATGAATTCAGGTACTCACTTTGCACGAACAATCTTAGGAAATCGCTATAGTGATCAGGGAACTGATACTGGAGAAGGTTAGTCCAGTGCTTGCAGAAGATATTAAATGGCATCAAAATATCTTCCTCAGGTTCAAGGCCACATGCATTGAGAGCCAAGTGAATAGACTCCAGAAGCTTGGTACGTTCAGATAGGGGTGGCTTAGTGATGCTCAGCCACTGCGTAAGGTCGAACTAGAACAGAGGACAGGAAGCAGTTGTGAGTAGAAGCTTTAACAGCCACACCACCTTTAGGAGAAGGGAGAAACTGCCAGATGGAAAAAATCCTGAGGTTTTTATATATTTAAGAAAAACCTAATGAATTTGCACCTCACTTGTTTTTACCTAACTCTGCATGTTTTAGGATTGCACACGTGGCACGCGTGTCCTTGCCACCAAAAAGCAGTGGAAGATTCAGCCACTGTTTCCACTTTTTTTGTAGTTTTTAAGATACCTGAGATTCATTTTCTATTTTGATGGATGTCTCTGCAGAGATATCAGGCCACAGAGAAGCCATTGAGGGCCTGCTTTGATTTCCTATCAAGAGTAAAAGTGCACTGAAGAGTAAGCTCTAGAAAGCACATATTGACACTATCTGGGCTAGGAAAGGGCAGTTTGAGTTTCCTATTTGCTTTTACCTCCAGCCCCTCTTCAGCTTAAACACAACACATACCATTCAGGATGAGCAACACAGATCTAGAGAGCCTGTCAATGTTATTTTAAAGTACCAGATCTGCACCTCTTTCTTCCTTAGCCTAAAATCCCCGTCTTTAGGAAATGAATACCCATGTAAGTAATCCACAAGTAAGAAGCAGTATCCAGGTGTACTTTACCTTTGTCAGCAGCATGAAGACAACATCACTGTTATCCTCACTTAGGAAGCACACGACTTTCTCATATAAAGTCACAAACTCATCAGGAGAGGCAACAGGAGTGAAGTAAGGAGAAAGAAGAGTACAGAGCCTTCGGTTCTGCAGGATCGTCTGCAGGAGACGTTTGCACTCTGACTTAGTCCCACTGATGAACACCTGAGGAAAGCGAGAATGGTGAGAAAAATGGCCTTTCTATTGGAAAAACATCACCTCAGAGCTTTTTCTCAAGACAAGCACAATTTTGGTCCTCTTAAAAAAAGAAAGTAGTCTCAAAAATTACAGACCGTATGACCTCAGCTTCAACTAAATACTACCACGAAATCCAATGTAAAATAAAGATGCTTCCCTGGCACACTCGTGACCGTACACACACTGTATAAATACCTAGGAATCAAAGTTTTCCCAAGAAAATTAATCCAGATTTCAGTAGCCCTGCCTGACATTAGGAAAAATTTAAACAGAGCTATGCCCATGGAGAGCTCTTCAGCATCTCAGTTAAGAGACACTGAAGGACACCTGCACATGGGAAGAAATTGAATTCAAGAGATGAAAATAAATGCCTGAACCCAAAGCAGAGGCAAATGCTTTTTCTTATAGCACCCACATAATGTGTTCCCCATGGCAAATATTACCAAAACCAATAAGCACTCTACCAGCAAACATATGGCTGTCTACCCAAAGAATATTTATTGCAAGGCTGTAGAAGAGAAGTGTCTAAACACAGAGGTTGTTGAGATATACATCAGCTAGAAAAATGATCGGTATCAGAGAAATATATGCCAAAACACTATTTTATGCACTAGAAATACCCAAACTTTAGCTACCTGCCCGAAAATCCAGCCTACCTTAGCACTTAACTAGCACAGTGAGCATTTAATAGCACTAAGCAGGTATCTCAGAGCAACAGCTTTTATTTTGTTTATAGTCAAGATTAAACTCTGCTAAAGACTGTATATTATACAATTAGTTGAGAGGAAAATGGGACAGAAGCCTAGAAGCTAATTTTCAGGCTTCTGAATGTTTTAGATCCCCAGTATCAGCAGGCAATTGGGATAAGCATTAGGCATCCAAAAAATCAGATAATAAACTCACTTGGCCTAGAATCTCGATGCAGGACGTGAAGAACTGCCTTGTGGGAGGATTGCGTTGAGTATCATCACACACATATTCCACTAATGTAAAAAACAAACTAATTCCGACTTTCTTAATGGCAGGCATAGGCTGCACCTTGTAGATATTTATTAAGGCCCTGGGGGAAAAGAAAAGAAGGGCAGATTAAACTGACATACGGAAAACAATCTGTGACAATAAAGGAAGGTTTCTTGCCAATATATAACCTCAAGACTGGTATTTCTGTCTTACATGATAATCGAGCATGGTTAAGGTTGGGAGGGACCTCTGGAGTACATCTGGACCAACCCCTGCTCAAGCAGGGCCATCTCCCTTATGAGGAGCAGCTGAGAGAGCTGAGGCTCTTGAGCTTGGAGCAGAGGAGACTGAGGGGTGCCCTCATTCCTGGGTCTCCATTTGGAAAGGGCGAGTGTCAGGAGGAAGGAGCCAGGCTCTGCTCTGGGATGGCCAATGCCAGGACAAGGGGCAATGGTCCCAAGCTGGAGCACAGGAGGTTCAAGCTGAAGATGAGGACAAAGTTTGTGAGTGTGAGGGTTATGGAGCATGGCCCAGGCTGCCCAGAGAGGTTGTGGAGTCTCCTTGTGTGGAGACCCCCAAAGCCCTGGCCGTGTTCCTGTGTGACTGCTCTGGTGATCCTGCTCTGGCAGGGGTTGCACTGGGGGAGCTTTCCAAGTCCCTTCCCACTCCTGACATCCTGGGATTCTGTGATTCTGTGACAGCTGCCTGCCCAGGACTGTGTCCAGACAAATTCTGAGTACACCCAAGGATGGAGACTCCAGAAACTCTGTGCCATCCTCACAGTAAAATACTGTGCTTCCTGATGTTCACTGGGAACTTCCTGTGTCTCAGTGTGTGCCTTGTCCTGTCACTGTGTATCCCAAAAAGAGCCTGGTTTCATCTTCTTTGCACACTCCCTTCAGCTATTTTATAAATTGACGAGAACCTCCTGAGCCTTCTCAGGAGGCTGAACAGTCCCAGGTTTAGCTCAAGTAATTTTGCTGCCTGAAATGGGTACCTCCAAACCTTAGAAAGTCTCCATAACCAGTCAGAAGTGAACATCAAAAGATTTATCACGGCATAGTTCCAACAGATTGTTTCTCCCTCAAATCACATTCTGAGGCCATCTCAGCTACATTTGTACTGCAAAAAAATTTACCTCATTCTACTTAACAGGCTCAGCAAAAAAAAAAAGAGTTGAGAGAGAATCAATCTTTTCTTGTGTATTGCCAAATAAATCTTTAATTGACCTCAAATCCCCATCTTTACGGAGTCTCAATTAAAACATGAAAAACACGCAGTGCCACGGATATAAATCCCAAGAACTAGCTCATCCACAAAAATTTTCAGATTAAGGATCAAGAATGAACGTGCAGAAATAGTAATCAAGCATTTTCACTTGTACAGTGAGCACAGTCTGTAGGAAACCAGCTACACTGGTGCCCTGTGGAGGCTGAATGACCAGCACTTAGCTCTTCTGATAACACACAGAGTTATCCCTTTATACGTCTGTGTCACAAACATACAGGTTTCAAGATACCAGCTCTGTTGTTAAACCAAGCTGATAAGCATCACAAAAAACCACACAAACATGCTCCACATTTTAACTCTAATACACAGAAGAAGAAATACAAAACATGACTACCTAAGACAGTGTCTGAACAACCTACGTTATAAAATTTTCCACGTGTACTGCTGCTTCCACAACACCTAGAGAAGGTGGCTTCATAGCTTCTGCCTGCAGCTGTCTCACTTCTTTACGCAAAGCATGAAGCTGCTGGCTCACTGCTTCGTTTTTATGTTTCCCTTCGAACTAAATGACAAAGAGACAAATTCATTTCAGAATAATATATTTTGCTAGAATTCTTCAATGTTGCACCTATTTGTAAAAATGAAGCATAGCCCAGTAAGAGAACTCTGAACATCAACCATCTTCCCCCGAGAGTTTTGATGAGATTTAGTACACCGTGACCAAGCACACACCCTAGTCATGTTCCTATTTAATTATCACACAGTAATATAATTCATGTCTTTTATGTAAGGCTTTTAATGCACAGGCACTGAAATTTAGAGCGGATCAAGAAATTCACATATCAAGCAATATGGGAATATTCCTATAAACACCACATCGGGAAGCAGTTTAGAATGGACACCATGAGCAGAACACATTTTATGCAACAACTTATTCTTCAGCTGTTGATCTGCACCTCCTTTTGAGCATTACATATTAGGCATTTCAAGTAACTATTATGTGTGTATAGATTTACTTGGTCAACTGCTTCAGGTCTGGTAACTATTCAGTCATTTCACTCTCATTACACACATCCAACAGCCCCAAACCAGAAGCGATGCCATGTCTCTAACCTGGATTGTTAGAAGAGCAGCTCCCTGGCAGCCTTTATTTGAAGTTCCCCTGCACTCCAAGAGGAGGGTGATCTGCTCTTCCCGATTGATGTAGAGCTTGGGTATTGTGTCCAATATTTCACTGTTGAGAGCAACATGCTGAGACTCCCAGAGCGCTGCAGTTCTGAAAAGCATTTATTAATAAAGTTACCAAAACCTTTACTGAAAACAGTAGTGCTAAGAATTTATAAGCAAGAGATGAGACTTCAATTTAATACGCTGTATAAAGACTCGTAACACTTTCCTAGAAAACACAGGTGGTTATTAAAATGAAACCGAGTTAAAACTTCAAAGTAATAACACTTCAAAGCAACAAAACAATAGGTTCATAAGAATAAAAGTACTCAGATCTGCATGACTTCTTTTTAATTATTCTATATGACAATGTGGAAGGATATTACACACATCACCCTCTGTAGGAAATGTGATCTTCCACCAGAAAAAACCTGGACTGTGGGATGATTCAGTCAACACAAAAAACCCCCCACCTAAAATAGCTGCTGGAATTGTTTAGACACATCCTCAATTGGCCTTAGTAAGTTTTGGGTTGGTTTGTAATATTTTTATCAAATTACTACATTGGGTGAGAACAGTTATAGATCCATCAGCTGAGTTTGAAAATAGTTCAGCTGAATTCTCTTAGTTGGAATATTAAAACCAGAAAGTCTCTCACAAAGCAAATAGTCTCAGAAATCAGATTTCTCTCTTGGAGATTCCAGCTTTTCACACTGCAGCTACTACATTAGTGCAAAAGGGTTAACTACTGTCAACAAATCTAGGCTGAAGGGAGGCTTTATTTTAAGAAGTATCTCAAAAGGTAAGAGAAGTTGTAGAAGTTAGGTGTCAGCTGATGTGATCTCAGCCATTAGATACCACTTGTGTATCCTTATTTCAGTTAAAGAAGTGGAATAACAACACAATACTCAAGGGAAAAGGTTTTGAAAAAACCCCAAAACTGGTACAAGAAGCAGAAGTCAAGCACTGACAGCCTTCTGACACCACCACAAATGAAGACACTGCTAGAGACGCTGTGAGGTAGAAGGAAAACAGCTTTGTCTTACTTGGCGTGTCGCTGCAAGACGTTAAGGTCCACACGCATGAGCTGAATTGCTTCCTTCTGGCTTATGAGACTGGCAGAGGAAATAACTGGCACAGGAGCTCTCACAGTCTGGAGTGGAAGAAGGGGCTTGGGAGTATCAAACTTCTTCAAATTGCTCATTATCCTCTCTTTAGCTAGAAAAGAAAGCAGAAGCAAGTCTTGTCAACAAGAGAAGATTAGGAGAAGCTGAACAAAAATATTTTTTACATATGGAACATTTTTAGCAGCAGACAACTATTTCTCAGGACTCTTATCTTTAAAAATAATAATAAAAAACAACCAAAAATCACTTCACTGATCTTCCTGCTGTTGTTGACAAAGCTGATTTCACACAGCCAATTTTCCCAAGCAGCTCCATCACACAAACAGGATCCAAGGCCCCATTGCTTTCTTTGTCTCCCCCCAGCCACTGTCCTTCCAATTTTCCTCTTATCACCCTGTTTATGCTTCTCATCTGACAGAGGCTCCCAGGCCCAGTCTGCTAAGCCAAATTCATCTTCTTTACCCTACAATTCATCCTCATCTCTAGTCTTCTCAGCTCTGTTTCCTCCACAAAGCACGGCCACACTCTACCCGATTCCCACTCTTTTCCTCTGTCCAAATAGTGCAATTCACCTATAAAACTAGTCCAGTTTCCTTCCACTCTCTCCTTCTCTTTTTTTAATTAGCTCTAAAAAAACCCCCAATCATATCCTTAATACAGCTACTATGACCATTATGCCATTTGTGCTAGAACAGCCCTTTAGTCATGCCAAAATTCGAGGGAAACAGCAAGGAAAGGCATTGAGAAAACAAGAGACAATCTGTCTGGTTTAAGTTACAGTAGGTTTTGCCTTTGATTGCACCTGTCAATGCAAATTTTGGGAAAATTCAGCCTGTCTGGAGCATGGTCTGAGCAGGGAGCTCACCCATGGCACAACATGGCTTGCAGCTCTGTGATGTAGCAAATACTAATCCAAAACCATCAATGTTAGCCTCTCACATGGGAATCCTACTCAGAACAGTATGAAAACTTCATACAAAATACTGTACCCGTAAAAAACAAACTGTATTAACATCTTTATTCACAGACATCATTATGTTTCTAAAGAAATCAGGGCTTCAACATGCTAATAATTCTTTCTGGCCCAATTTCACTAACAATATTCTTATATCTTACCTGAAAAAGGGTTGATGAAATCTGTCTGCCCAACAGAAATACAGGTGGTATGTGATTCAAGGTGAACCTGTAGCCAAAGGTTTAGAGCTTCCTGAAACTCGTGGTGTATGAGTTCAACATTGACATACTCCATCCACAAATCCTACAGCACAAAAGAATTGAATTATCATTCGCATTTTGGTCAGTGCCACACACCGCGTACTCAATGCCAGCAGCCGGGAAACTAAAATAAGTACATAAAACTAGATTTTACAGGTTTTAAGTCATGGGAAAATATTACTAGGAAAAAAAAATCTAAACTGAAGAGAAAAGCTGCAGAATTTTTATCACAAAAATAGATAAGCCACTGCAAAGCATTCGTGACACCTAGAGAAGAAAACTGGCAAAAAGAGAAAGGGTACAGATTATTAAAACTCAGTTCCTAAAGGGAATGCAGAGTAAACAAAACTAGCCTAAAACATCATGGCATGATTAACTATAACCAGGCTAAAGCAGGCTGCGTTTCTAGTAGTCACATATCCTGGAGGAATAAACACAAAGCAGATAGGAAGAAATGCCCTTCCAAAATCTCTCTCTTGCAGGCCTTTCTAACTGTGACAACTCTCTAGGCTTACTGGATAGAATAACCCATTTTCCCATTTGCTGATTAATATTTGAATCCAATATATTACAGACTACTAACACTAGCAATTTGGGATTTCAGTCTTTTGCCATTTAAAAATCCAACTTAGATATTTCTCTAAAATTACCTTAGAACGTAAAAGGAATTACAGAACAGTACAGAATAAGGATTGTGTTCTCATTAACATACGCAAGAAATCTACTCCTAAATCCTCACTCAAATATTAGGAAAGGCAGTTTGGGGTAGCACAGGATTTTTAGGAAAGAAGATCAGAGCTGTGAAGGTATCATACATACTGCAGATGTACTAAAAATCAGTGACACCAAGTCTTTCACTACTTTAGAGGACCCACTTAAACAAGTGAAGTGAATTCTGGATCCCAGACTGTCAATGTCACTGGCACCTCACCTGCTGATTCTGCATGACTTTGGCAAGTCTGTGTGCATCATACTGCTTCGGTAGAGAAGGAATGTACGTGTCTCCTTTCTGGAAACTCTCTTCTTCCAGCCACAAAACAAAAACATTACAAAGCCTGAGAAGAAAAACAAGAAAAAGAAATTCAATGTGAACTTTAATCCCATGCAGAGCACACATTACACAGCAGTCTCATTCTGGAGTTGAGAGTTAAGGCAAGAAATCATGCTACAGGGGAACACGGCTCAAAATGTGGATGTTTCAGATGCTTTGTGACTAATTTACTAAGTGTCAATTCAAAGACCAGCAGTGGAAAGGAGCTATCTAGAAAAATATGAAGGGGATTAACCAAGAGCAATGGGACAAATTTTGAAAAGGAAAATATTTAGATAAATTAGCACACGAGACCCAGAACTGGAAGTGTCTCTTATGTCAGGGAATCATATTTACAACCCCATGCAAAAGACCAATGAACTAAAAAAAGAGTATGTCTGTGTGGATGCAGACATGCAGTAGCAAGAACTTCTCTTGCTTCTCTCTTGTCCCGTGTGAAACTTTTCCCTCTCACAGAAGCTATCGGTAGTGTTATTGTAAACTAAGAACATCTGCGAATTGTTTATGGTATAGTAGAAAAATATTCTCAGGATGGATGTTTTAGGATTTCAGCCGATCACCCCAGGTGGAGTGGCTGACCTCTTGACCAATTAGGCTGTGAAGAAAAAAGTCTATACGAGAGTTGTTAAATAATTAAATAAATCACTATTGCTGCACCATTCCTGCCTGCCGGATCTCTCTCTTCTCCCCTCTACTACTGCGGGATATGGTGATACGTCTGAGCAAATTTGGCTTCTGAACACGTGACTTCTCTAGAGCGTGGGCTCTAAAAGCTCACAGCCGAGTTACATCTTTTAATTTCCGGTCAGACTCAAATTCAAAGCTACTTTATTCCCATTTCCCCCTCTGCTTACACTGTACTTTAACATAAATATACTACTGCCTTCAACCGGCATCACTATACTGAGGAGTACTCTTTTTATAACCACAACATCCAAGCTTTCCTGAGTAAATAAAAGGGAGAACAAGAACATCACTAAATCTTTGCACTGGGGCATTAAATATCACTAGCAAACTCCTTTTTTCTGTATCATTGTCACTGGTGAAAAAATGGAAGTTCCAGGAGTCAGCCCTCATGAACTCTATCAACATTTTCCCTCCTGTCTAGGTGGTCATTACACTTCCTGAGCACAAGATTTACTTGGCTGTAGAGCACTCTGGATTTATGTTGGAGTGAGGAAGCCCCTCTGAAAGGCTGACAAAATATTAATCAAGTTTCATGCAGTGAGCATCTCTGGATTATTTTTCACATATGACCAAGGAGGATTTATGATCTCCCTTGTTTATTTGTACAGTACCCACTGATTGCCAGGAAGGAAGCACTTAAAAGCAGCTCAGATCCTGTCTGCCCAATCCCCCTGAACAAGAGACTCTTCTCAAATAATCCTTTCAACTATAGTTTCTAGGAAAATCTAGATACTGTAATACTGCAAATATTTCTTAAGTTAGACTTCTCAAACCAAAAGTCTGTGTAACAGAACCATGGACTTCTGACCAGCACAGCTACAGTTTCAGTGTGCATGAGATACATGGCTCTAAAAAGTCACCACTCCTTCCGAAAATGAGCATTCATCAGCTGAGTTGCACTAAGCAACCGTGCACATCTCCTTACCCTAATCCAACACAAGGAGACCATTTTGACCTAACATTACAGTTAAGGAGACATATTTTCTGGGTGGCACAGAACACACTTGTCACAGCTCAACTTCAGCATGCTAAATGGGTAAACAACTAACTAAATTGTGTGTCCCAGTCCCCAGTAAATTCCCTGATGAAGTCCTCTACCTCAGACATACATTTAAGCCCTGGTCCATGACAAAGAGATACATACGCAGAAAGTAGCACTTCATGTTTAGATTGAGACTGGACATTAGGAAGAAATCCTTCCCTGTGAGGTGGTGAGGCCCTGGCCCAGGTTGCCCAGAGAAGCTGTGGGTGCCCCCTCCCTGGCAGTGCCCAAGGCCAGGTTGGACGGGGCCTGGAGCAGCCTGGGCTGGTGGAGGTGTCCCTGCCCATGGGGGTTGGACTCGGAGGGCTTTAAGGTCCCTTCCAACCTAAACCATCTGTGATTCAATGATATAACAAGTGTCTGCCATCCATCTAGCTCAGCCAAGGGCCACATCCCTTCCCTCGTGTCTCTCCTAGCCAAGACTGTGCTCGAGCAGTTGCACTGAATAAGACTGAACTGAACAGGCTTCTTTTACCTGACAAGTTCCTTATGCAGTTCTGGTGAAGTCAGGTAAGCTGGTGAGCAGCTCGCCTTCTGTGGTGATCTGTCACTGCCCTCTGTGGGACTCTCCGCCCTCAGTGCTTTACTGGCAGCATGGTGGAAGTCTGCTACCTCTATTAAGCGCTGCTTCATTTCATTCAGTAAGGTAATATGAGCTGCACTCTGGAAAAAACGTCTTCCAATACACCCATCTACAGGTAATCTGAAAATGAATCAAAAAAAAAGGACAACAAAGTCTTGTTACGAGTGTCAAACCAGCATCTCTGCAAATAAATTGACTCTTTAGAGAAGCTGCTGGTATCGACTGCTTTCAGGCGCAGTCTTAGTGTGAGGCATTTATTAAACTCACTTGCAGAGCAGACTGCTTAGTGTTTACTGATCTGCTAGAGTTTTTATTATCAGACTCACCCATATTGTGGTCCTGGTCGGTGCAGGTAAAGGAGGAAGAATTTCTGCCAGATCAGTGGCATGAGAGGGTGATCAGCAGGGGTAGCCAGGGCCTGGTGAGCCCAGCGATAGATCATGAGCCTCTGAAGGGAAGGAACGATGGGCAGCTGGGTCTGTGCTTTCTGCAGAAAGAAAAGATTAATACAGTATGAAAGCTCTGGAATTACAACAGAGAAAACTTTGGAAACATTCACACATCTGTTACAGGTCACAGAGGAAAAGTTGCTCAGCTCATAGTTGTGTTGGACAGCTATTGGGAAGCAGTGCTACATAAAAAAATGTAGCATGAATAGAGGGGCTAGTGTGATGCAAGGTCAACATATGGGCTATTGGTGTTAACTACAGTGAATTACTGTTTTTCCTCACAGAGGTAGACATTCCTGGTTTAGGCTTCCATAAAACCAGTGCTGTTAGAGGATAAAGCAGCAGCAGCAGCGAAGCACACATGTTCCAACCAGTAAAAATGACAGTCGCTACGAGCATGAGGAGGCAGAATCCTTTAGCGTGCTACCATTTTCAGCTTTTTCCAGACTACACTTCATACAGCCCTACCGAAAATCTAAAATGTGAAGTAAAACTAACGTGAAGAAGGAATACAAAAGGAAAAAAAAATATTTCTTCTTTTTGCAAAAGCAGAACAAAGGCAGTGCAACCTATGAGCAGCAGCACTCCATGTTAGTAACACAGAAGACTACTCCACAGACCTACTAGACCATAAACAAGGCACACATCAAGCTGACGTGGACTGTGCCTGAAGCAGGGGAACTGGGGGCTTTTCTGAGCTTCCAGATCTCAGCGCAGACCCTGGCACTACTTCATCCCCCACACCAGCCCTCAGGAACCCTCAGCACCCTTTTCCACCCACTCTCCACTACTTGATGGCTGATGACACCAAACTGGGAGGAGTGGCTG